GCATTTTCAGCTGTGTATTAGCTTCCAATCAGCAAATTAAACAATTTATTCCGGGCATTTCATGGACTCCACATGAAGATAAACCAAACCAATTCTGTCAAGACAGATGTGATGATTCCCAGACTCTATGCGGGGATTTCTGTATTGTTTTTCCTTAGTTTCAACTGACAACTAAAGCTTTATATGTACTTTTTTCCCCATAATACCTATTTCTAACTTTTAAACATACAAAGTGTTTTGTGTGTTCTGCATTTGGGAATCAGTTGTTAAACAGAGCATTTGCTAATCCTCTTTCATCAGGCAATTTTTATTTGGCATTGGCCGGAAAAGGAAATTTTAAAACACTCTCTTTGCCTTGCGTAATACCCAAATATAATTATAAGTATAGCATTGTTGCTTTCTCTATATCCCCCTATATAGAGATTTTTTATGATTCAATAAACATCATAGAAAACAGAATGTATGCAAAGAAACAAACAAAAAAAAAAAACAAGGCAATAATAGAAAAATAAATCAGAGCAAAGATAACAGCTTGATTTTATCCTATTGTATATTGTTCCCTTTATATAACAAGGATTGGCTGGTTAGAATTTAGAATGCAATTTGTTCATGCCAAAATGCCGTGAACCAGTTTTCAGTTTCAGGAGTTGTAGTAGATAAAAATAGACGCAATTTGTACTGCGTTTCTCCTTCTTCATTAAAAGCTACTGAAAAAAAATATATAGGCTGTGCAAAACAACAACTATCTAATCATTAATTTTGATAAAATATACTATACAATGTTTTAATTTTTTCTTTTCTAAATATAGGCATTCATTTGTCTCTACTGTTTTATATGTTACATTCAGGACCTGTGAATCTCACAGACATCATATTCCTAAAATGTTAAATATTTAAAGCTACCATATTATGGTTACTCCTACAAAGTGGAATTGGATGCTTACAGGAAGAATAATCTTGTACCTTCATCTCCATCATAAGACATATAATTGGGTAATCATGGTCTGCATGTTCTTTCTACAGTTAGCTTTTTTTTCTATTTAAGTCTTGTGAGACTAAAATACCCTAAACGCTTTAAACACTGGGCTGGTTGTTTGTGGTCACCTTGTATCTGCCAAACCCAAATTTATTCCACATCAGAAATAGCTGACTTAATTAAAGCTGTCATCTCCTAAAATCTAATTCAATCCCTCTGCACATCATGTTGAGGATAATATCCAAACTATGACATCTGCCCTTGTGGTCTTTGCAATATAGGTACAGCTTTCCTCTGTTTATTACTGGGACGATTCTCACCTGCCAGTTGAAAAGTTTTGGTGTCTGACTATCTGATTTCAGCACAAAGTCTACTAATTCGCTATATCAGGTAGTCCTACTAAACACACTCATGCAGGCAAGTGGGATAAATTAATGACAGCCAAACTACAGAGTCCACACTCATGTCAGCTGTACATAGTAAGGCTGGCAGGCTCCTTGTTCTGGGGTGCTGTGCATGGCACAGCATGTGCATGCATTCAGGAGACATCTTCTGCCTCTCCCCCACTACATGTGCAGGAGGAAAATCTCAGCGAGTAAGCTAGTGTCTCTCATTCTCAATCATCTTACCCTTTCCTTTGTTGCTTTGCATTATGCCATACCTTAAATCATTGTTGAACATAATACATACAGGAAAGCATAAACTGATTGGTAAGCACTGGCGCTGTAAGAAACACGAACCTTCTTTGACTGCATTCATGTGTCTTCTATAGAATCCAAGCCACAACGGGCTAGCCCTACGCCTGTCTTTCACTCGAGATTATGACAGCACTGATTCAATAGTGGTGCAGAGATACCTCTGTGCAAATACAGATGACTACTTCTACAAACAAGGCATTCTCCAAGATTTCCTCCACTAGAAGCTCCTTCTTAGTTTATTTATTATTATTTATTTCTCTTTGAAGTAAGAGAAGATAGCACCATTAAGGAACACTATTATGTCATTGTTATCTCCGTAGGATAAATGTAGGTATGAAACAAATCAGTGCTTCTGTTCATTAAAAACAAAATTGCCAGCTCACACCTTATTACTGGAGTTGCAATTGCACAGATAAACACATCTATCGGTGTGGAGTATCTCAGCTGTCACCAGGGATTTATATGAGTGAAGCAATTCACTGGCATGGAGAAGATTTCTATTATTATCCATGTGTTATGATGTAGAAAATGCAGTTTGATGTAGAAAATGATGCAGTTTGATGAGCTTTGTAGCATTATGCTTTGACTTATGAACAAAAACAGTCTGCAATGTGAATTAGTAACAATGTGTGTGAAATGGCACAATTTGATCTTTATAAAGACACTCAGATGCATAACTGAACATTAATAATCTCATTTGGCATGACTGTTATCTTTAAAATGCATACAGATACAAGCCAATCCCTAACTGCTCAGACGGGTCAGAAAACATTAGAACTTTCAATATGAATGTTATTTTTCTATTCACATGTTTAGCAGAAGCTGAAAGCGAAATGCAAAATTGCCAGACAGTATACGTGAATATGTATTTTCTATGTTCCAAATACCACCTTTGACTACACATTTCTGATTTCCATTAAGTACGACTACCTTCTTGTCTTGTTGAGCAATTAAAGTGACAAAAGTAATAGCAGATGCCTCTTTCATAGTTAAAACTACAGCATGCAGCCCATAGCTTGCATTTTATTACAACCAGTCTACATTGCCTAATAATTGCAACGTAATTGAAAAGATCCTGATAATAAACCATTGGTTTACCTTTTTTCCAGATAAAATAAATATATAATCCAATCGAGGATTCATTTTAATGTCACATTAGATAGTTTCCAAGTTGTCCTGATTTTTGTTTTATTTTATGATTGTAAATAAACCCTGGAAAATTCCTTCCCCGATTTTACCACCTGAAACTGCAGCTGTTGGCTGACACTATCAAAGCCTCGCAATTCCGAACTCACGTGCAAATCTCATCAAGTGCAGACACTTCTAATTGATTCCAGAAGTTTTTCTTTTGCTAAGATCAGCGGCAGAAGAAGAATAATGAGCAGCTTTCAAGCAGAGGGGGGAGGGTGTTGAGCTCGGGGAGTGGAGATTTTAAAAGCTCCAGCTCAGCTGCTCTGCCAGAAATGCGGAGCAATTTTACGGTCAATTGGCCAGAGCATCTGGAACTATACATCATAGTCTGTAGTTGATGGTGGTGAAGCCGATTCTCAAACTGGCTAAGTCTAAAATCAGTAACGACTGCTGTCACACCTAAGTGGAAACGAACTTAATCTACTGCCAGATTTTACTGTGACTTTTTCTAAGGGACATTATTCCCCCCAGAGTAGTTGTCAGGAATATTAAAAGTCCAGTCTACTGCATGGTATTGCAGAATTTTCTCAATGAGGCTAATATAGAAAATACAGATTACAACTCGTGTTTATTTAATTCCATGTGTGTTGACAAGGCTTTTTATCATGAGGTAGTAGTTTCCTTCCATTACTTCAAAAATACATTTCAGATATACCATCCAATCTAGTTAGGGCACGGAGACTGTCTAAATGCTGAGGTTGTAAATCATAGGGCATGGAGCTTTCACCTTAATGGAAACCAAATATAGGATATGCTGCACTTTGAAATGTGGCACAAATGATCATAATGAGGGACCAAGGAAAAATGCCGCAGAGCAGAAAACTATCGATGTGGAAATAAGTTCTTATGAGTAAATGTTTGTTTTAAGTCAGTACTCATAAGTCAGTATCCTGACACTGGGAAATTACACTAAGAAACAAGTGAGGCAACAGCAAGGCTTTGTATAACGAAAAGAGAAGTAAGTAGCGTGGCGATATATCACATTAGGAGGGACTGCTGTGGAATGCAGAGTACAGTGCAAATCAGTTCTTTAATAAAGAGATATTATATATTTCATCCAGACAAATTAGCTGACATGCTTGTAAGAAATACAAGAATTGCATCAAAGACCAGAGAAGCAGTCCATTTGGTACAGAATACTGTCTCCAAAAACATTTGGAACAGCTGCATCTACAAAGTTTATATACTCTGGAGGAATAAATAAATAATTTGACCACAGAGAAGCTCATTTCTGCCTTCATTAGTTAAGGTCTGAATTATAACCTGCTGCACAAGACTATGTATCTTCCACTGCTGGTTATTTTTCTAATGCAACACACGCCCATACAAAATAGAAAACAAGTACTTCATTTAAGATTTCACACAGGTATACATCCACTCTTTTTCTTTCTTTTCTTCAGTGAAAGTTGTCCCAGATCTTAATCCTTCCTATCAGTGAGCAAATATATGACTGCTGTTGGTTTGGTAGCCATGCAGTCAAACAGTGCAGAAAGAGTCTGGGTGTATGACCTGTTCTCAGATATAAAGCCTTAGCCAAAAAGAAAAAAAAAAAAGAAAAAAGAAAAAAGAAAGCAAAAGATAAACGGGCACAACAAAATAGACATCTGCATTTCTCATTCCAGCTTTCTTCACTGCCATTTCCTCAGCTTATGAGTCGTAGTAGTGAGCTGCAGCCACTATGGAAATTAGGAATATGGAAGTTATGGAATATATTTCAGACAAAAGATCCAACAGTATGTCAATAGCTCTCATTTCTACTTGCTTCCCATTAGTACTACTGTCAAATAACAGCCAGTGCTTGACCAAAATCAGCTCGTGGAATATGCTGACTGACGCCAAACCAGAGAAGCTAGATGGAAATTCTTTGAAGAGGTGTACCATCATCACAAATTTATTTTTACATATTGTGACCGCCGAAATGTCACATAACTGAACGTTCAAGCTATGTTTTCTGCTACCTCTGGGTGGTTAGGAGGCTCCAGGCCCTGTCTGACAGAAAAAGATTTGGCAATAGTAATACACATGATCATCACATTACACAGACATGAAATAATCAGCCTACAGCAAACTCACTAGTATAGGATATGGCAGCACAGACCCTTGAGCAGACATGCACTGACTTCTCAGCTTACTGTCTACATCCAGTCAAATATATCTCTATCGTCAAAGTGTTCAGTGAATTCCATCCCAGAAAGAATTCTCATACGATCTAAAAAGTTCTTCAAACGTCTATGCCTTTTTTCCTAAAAGCCAATCAACCAAAAAACAAAGCAACAGCAAAAGCCTACATCTTCTGCCCAAGCATATGAAACATACACAGCACAAGGAATTAAAAAAAAAAGCACACTGAGAAATGTGTAGGGTTCCACCTCCCACAAGAAAAAAAGATTATTTTTCTAACTCTGATAACTTGGAATTATTGTCTTCTTTGGAAAAGGAAAAAACACCAGGAGAGATCTCTCAAGAATATGTCTTGGAAGGACTTCAAATACAACTGAGCCAAGACTGGTAACCACATTACTTAATACAGAATTTCAAAGCATGGACAGATGCAATTCTGTGGTTATTGGAGTGTGGATACAATAAACAATTATATGAAAACTGTAGCTTTACCAAAATAAGCAGTTCTTTCTTACCCGCCTCTAGCTGCATTTTGCTTCCGTGGACCTCTGCATTAGGGAACTTTCTTATTCCAGAGGATGTTAAATCACCTAATTTACACAAAGATAAATCTTTGGCTGCACCAGTCAGAGCAACCAGATGACTGAATTAGCTAGGTAGTGAGGTTAAGGTGCTGGAGAAAAAGGGCAGGGCTGGTTCTCCTGATGGCATTGCAGTCATTGGCTGTTATTTTCAAAGCCACCTGTGCTAGCGTAATAACAAAAGGCTTCCTCCTTTCCCCTACTTTTCTTGTTTTCTCTTATTTCTTTACTTTCTTCTCAATTTTCACACAGGTGAAAATATCTGATGTGCTTATGAGCTGCTCAAACTCACTAAAATGGCAGAAAGCAACAGGGATCCAGGGCTAGAGAAAGGAGCAGGATTGAACTGTTAATTTAATTATTTAGACTTGGTGAAACTCTCCATTTAGATCAGCCTAAGCTAATAACAAAACTGCAAATCCCACATTAGGCAATCACTTGAAGTTTCATCACTTATTTTTACTAGTTAGAGCACCCTACAAATAAAACTGCATGGATGATTACTTTTGAAGTCTTATTTACTAGTTATAAAATATTATTGAGGAATGCAAGTATATGAACCATAGGTACAAGAAGAGAGAAGTCAAAATTTTCACTAATGATTTAACGTAACATATGGCAGAATTATTCTTGCACTTATCTCCTTACTTAGAAAGGATAGATCTTAGGAATATTGAACAAAAGGAAATTTTTAGGACAAATTTTAGTTCTAATTTCTGTGAAAACAATTTATTTATTATGCTTATTAGTGTCTTCTGGTTCAAAATGATCTCACTGATCATGATTGAAAACATTAATAATCTGAAGAGGCTTTTCAACACTAATTGTAAAATTTCTGGCAATTTCCTTTTAGTCAGAATTTTTCTTGTAAATTCCATTTAAAAAAATACCACAGTATCCATAGCAAACATACCTACCACGAATCTAGAAACTGTTTAATGCATTGACAGTGCACAAGCAAAGCCTGCGATGGTAAAACATGCATATCAAGATGGGGGACTCACAAACATCACAAAGCTATAAATATCACAAGCTTGATAATTTATGACAAAGTGCAAGTCTATTGCACTCACATATTGAAATTCTTCACAACCATTATTTGATTTGGTCTTGTTGATAGCAAAAAAATTGATGGACACCTATTTAAGTTTTTTCAAAAAAAATAATTTGGGCAAGCTTCTCCTGTTTGTCCGTTTTTGATGAGAAACAACTCAGTATCAAAGAAGGGACTAGGAAAGAGTCATTGAAAGTATAACACTAAGGAAAAAAGAAAAGAAGAAGAAAAACTACACAAGAAAGCAGAGGAAAGTACAGTAGAGAATGGGCAAAGAGTTTAGTATTTTAACAACAGATGCAAATAGGGAACAGAATAGGAAACTTTTTTTTTCCCATGACAGAATGAGAAACAATATAGAAGTACCAACCTGAAAATTTATCTCCTACTCCTTTAATCTTTCATATATACACACTGTAGAAAGCCAAGAGGTGGGGGAAATTTAGAGGATATATTTTGACATATAACTATGTCCAAATTTAGTTAGAAAACCTGAGTACCTGAAGTCTGAGAGCTATTTCTCACAGGTTGTAAATTAATTGCCAAATAATAAAATTATTTGCTTCTAGACTATCTATTGTAGTAGACTATCAGGTATCCGTCAATATAAAAAAGTATTTATTTTGCATTAAATATTGTCCAATAATTATTTTTTCCACAGCAGTATAATATATTTTTATGTTCTTTTTTTTTTTTGCCTGATCTGAGGTGAAAGCAGAAGAATCAGCACCACTACCAGAAACTACCTATTAAAAAAGTTATCGGTTGCTATATATTTTGCAGCTGTTTCAAGTCACAAAAATCATTCTGAATTTAATCAGTAATAGGTCTGAGTGTCAATCATTATTATTTAATTTTTTTTTTTCATTTCTTAAGCCAAAAAATATCTGATAACAGTTCTAGTTCAGAAGTTCATAATCTTGCTGATAACAACTTTGCTGATGACCAGCACAAGGTAGCTGGTCACATCAAAATCTGATCACATTAAAGTAGTGCTTTAACCAACCTTGATTAAAAAGGAATGTAGATTAAAAAGTAAAAGTCACAGACACAATAAAAACATGCTCTATGAACAAAAAAAAAACAGCTATAATTAAGCAGATTAAATACCTGTTTAATCCAGTCTCCTATCTTTTCAATGCCTAGAAGTCTGTTCCTGATATACAGTATAAATGCAGAACACAATATTTAAGTTCTTAGATTTGTTTTAGTGAAATAGTATTTACTCAGTCCAAATTCAGGAAAGAACTTCTGGTATTCTGGTCAAAATATGTGGCCATTAATATAGTATTTTTGCAATGACAGATGGCTTTCTGACTTCCTTCAATATAAATTGGTTATAAAAAAGAAAACAATTTTTTAAAAGATAAAACGTTAAAAAAATAAAGAGAAGAAAAAATCAATATTCTCTTCAAATTATGTCATGAAAATAAAGAAGTCAAATGCATATTTGTAATGTTTTTATGTCTTTATGATAGTAATAAATTATAACGTCATTAGCTTAAACATTTCAAAATAAATATCTTACTTCATATGCGTAGTCCAACAAAGAAAGTTGATTTCTTAAGTAGCCAAGTTTGTATACTCCTAAGAAGACTGAGCAGCGGATGATTTCCAAAATTCTTGCTTTGGGTCTAGAAACAGGAAATAATGCAGATTAATGCTGTTGTGGTTTTTTTTCATGTTAACTTCAATGAAAATCAGAATGTAGAAATAGTCTATGAACGTCACAGCTATATCAAATCCCCTTTTTTAAACTTTCAGTTACATTTTTATAGTACACAGTTTACATCAAGTTAGAATACTGAATTTTCTGGGGGTGAGAACATGCATATGTAGAGAATGTATGTGAACTCACACACATGTAAACATATCTTTTTATCACAGAAATGATAACAGAAAAATTCTGAGAAATGCCATTTGAATAGCTCAGATTCTTCATTTCTGTAAATTTATATTAATTCTCCTTACCAAGTTTGTAAGTAATACTGATCTCTGATTTCTTGAAAAGCTTTTACCCACCCTAAAATACCCCATTCAGAACATACAAGCAAAATGTATTCTTTACTGAAAAAGACATTGAGCAGTATGTGCAAAACACAAGTGGCACAACAATGAAGATTCTATTCCACATTTCTGTGTTAGCAGGGCAAATACTCATAGTTTCCCTGTAAGAAACTGTAGTTTCTGTAGGGTTACAGCATTTGCATGGACTACTTCCAGAGCATACATCTCACAGAAGTGGTATATTTCTCAAGATCCAATTTGATTTGAATCCATAATGACCAAATTAATCCAAAATCTTTGCTATCCTTCACATGAGTTTGAGTCTGCAATTTTTATGCTCTTCTCATACACTATCAGCCAATCTGATACCCATGAAATGCTACTACATAGGACTGAAACAATATGGCTAAGCTTGAACAGCACTGGAACAGACTACAGGCCTGTATCACAAAACCAGAGATGTTGATCCAACAAATGCAAGCGCATTTGAGGACATGAGCAGTTAGTTCTTCAGTATAACCACTAACTGCAGCTGGAGCACTCCTTGTTTTAGTTGCAGGTTATTTGTGTTTTACCTTCTAGCCAACAGACAGAAACATACCTGTCAGTTCTTTATCAATATAATTTTGGGCACACTTGAGATTTCCTTGTAATATTATAATATAGAAGGAGAGAAGAAAAAAACATGCTTTATGTCTTGCCTATTCTCCATAAGAAATCCAAAAGAGGTCAGGGATAGAATGATAATGCCAATTCTCAGTAGAATATTTTCCTGTGATAATGTCTGTTTAAAAAAAGAAAATAAAAAATCATTTAGGTTAATTTTCTGAAAAGAAACTGAGTTTAACAGGACAGCAGCTTCAACTTTATTTCAGTGATTTCAGTGTCTGTTTCTGAAGTGATTTGCATTTTATTTTGCAAAAATTTGCAGTAATCACTTTTATAGTTGCCTCTATTTCCAAAATAATCATTAGGATACACCCTCCTGCACCATTTGCTTTCCTGAAGTTGCTTGATTTCCTCATGCCTTAGCCCACGGGGGCATAATCATACTTCTAAGTAAAAATAACCTTGGCCCTGTTCTATTTTTTCATTTCATTTTACTAAGTTTTTACAGTTGCCATCTATAAATTAATTAATCAGTTAATACCAAAACATACATTGGTAAGAGTAAGAATTCAAAAAACATGACAATATAGCTATATTTTAACAAGAAACAAAATTAATAATATTCCCTCATAACACTTGGTTCCGAATTCAGGAAAACTCTTCAACTCATATCTTTGACTCCAATCGGACTGAAAACTTTTAAACATTAACATGTTTTATTATTTGGACACAGAGCAGCATAGAGATTTATGTCCTTAATATTTAAATCTAAATAATAGAAGCAACAATCAGAAAATAAAATTATTTTCCATGATGAAGTCTGATTTTTTTTCTTTTAATTTATTAAATATTTTTATATTATACACAGCTGCCTTTGCAAATCAAATATTTAATCATTTTTCTTTTTCCCTCCCTTGCTTCATCTCAAATATTAGCTTTGAAGAGCCTTTGTTTTTTCTTAAAAAAAAAAAAAAACAATAAAAAAAAGCAATATGAAAATAGTACTTCTTGCTGAGTTATAGAAATTCTTTTTTGTTTGAACAGCAATAAAGTTTATGAACAGCATTTTGCACCTCAAGATCTCAGGCACTGAAAAATAAAAACCTGTGAATGCCTGCCTTGATTTCAATAAAGTCCACTTTGCGGCAAGCCCACTTTCCTTCAGTGGTGGCCCCTACCTCGCAAAGAGATCTAAGGTAAGTATCTGTGAGTGTTGGAGGCCACAGGAGAATAATCTCAAGTTTTATAGCTGTGCGAACTTACAGTGCCCATGTTTGCAAAACACATCAAACCATACACTCAGGCTGGGTAGGGTTCTGTTGTTACACTGAAGAATCACAAGCACCTACTTGGATATCCTTAACAAACGGTTACTAAACAAAGAAAACAGCATCCCAGCAATGCATGAGCTAAACAGCAGCCCCACTTATTTACAAGCCAGAACACACTTCTCACAAATGACACCTGTGAAGCCACTCTGTTGCACAGATTTATACAAGGATAGATCAAATTCATTACTGGAATGCTACACATGCAGTCTGTCTCATCCTTCCTTATGGTAAATTTATGAAATCTCAAACTGATGATTACTATGATCATCTACCTAGAAGAAGACCTAAAGAAAGGATATCCTACACTATTCCTATACTCTTACACAGAGCACCTGCTACTAGTCACCACAGGAGACAGGATATCGCCCTGGACACTGAACTATGGAGGGACTCAGCATAGCAGTTATGCATTAAGACTCTTGCTTAAGACAAGAAAGTAAAAATGCTCTGATGGGGTTATCCTTATATAAAGATTTTTCTCAACTACAATACATTGTAAAATTTCCAATATAGGTTTTAAAATATGTCAATAAAAGATTACATTGAAGGTATTTTTTTTTCTTTTTTTAACACTTCAGTTTCTAGAATCCAAAAACTGTACAGCAGCTTTCCATTGTTGACAAGAATCAATTTGTTTTGAAGTGACAAAATTTTTGGACAGAAATTTCTTCATAAAAGTCTTTTTAAAAATTCTTAAACTGTTCATCTACTCACAATAAATTCCCACTTAAGCTTCCTATAGAAGCTGGGTCATAAAAAAAAAAATCAATAATTAAAGCAAAGCAAAGAAAAACATTATTTTGCACAGCTATATAATCTATATAAGGTAATTCACAAACAAATTTCTTAGAAATGTTTTATTATGTTTTTCAGTGATAATTCCTTGTCAGATAAAGTGTTTTCTGGGGAACTGGGACCATTATTCAAGACTTTTCTCTTTAGAGTCTGTCCTTCCATTTAAATTGTAGAACTGCACCTTTTTAAACCCAGCCCCAGCCAGGTGGCTGATTTTGTTTTGTGCTAGTAGTGCAATGCACTAGCTTCTATAGTTTCCCTTAAAAATATTCTCAATTGGCAGGGCACTGGTTGGAGGAAAGGAACGTAAAGCTTTGATTCTCTGTCAGGTAACAAGAGAATTGAATATCAAGTCTAAATTTTGAACAGTAGATGCTACTTTACAATATATGTCCAAAACCACAATTTACAGAAAAGGAATGTATCACAAACGACTTTGTTTCTTCATTTGTGTTTCTAGTCAAGAGCTGCCTGAAAACTTCTGGTGAAATACATCTTGATGCCATTTGAAGTAATAGATTTTAGAAAGCCAGAAAAACATAGCATAAATATCAACATATTAGTGTGCTTTCCTAAATTTCTCCTTACTCTTCCAGTGGCATAGTTACATGCTGTCTTGATTATTTTATTTACTTTCAAACTTGTATCACCCTGTAAAGTGGATGCTGACAGCTGGGCCATCCATTTTCTTGGTATTACTCTACCACAATCAATGAAATAGTCTGGGAGTTATGTCACGAAACTAGCTATCATACACTGAATCTATACACTGCAAGTTACAGTGAGAAAAGAATGCGCATTTTACACCTTTGTTAGCACTAGCATCTTCATACCTCTTAAAATTACATGCATGGATATATATATATAAAATAAATGAATATTTATGTCCTGGATTACGTGCATAAACATAGAAGCTTCAGGGACCACAGCAGGCTTCTTAGCTGTGAGTCAGTCACAACTTTGTAATGTGGTTATTGGCTATAATTAAACAGAAAAAAATATTTCTGTTGGATTTTGATTTCACTGAAAGCTTTTAAAAATATCTTGGGGACTTAAAAACAAACCAGGGATTAAAGATTTTTGGGAAGAAGTTTACACTGCATTGTAATCACAGGGTTTTTCTTTTAATTAGGTAAAAAAAGAAATAATACATTTAAACAAAGGAAATATGCCCTATGTGTTTTTAAATGTAAATTGAAAGATTCCAAATTCCAGATCATTTTTCTTCCTTCTGAAGTATAACTTAAATGCATTTTCTCATCTAGGTGTCTTCAGTGTTTCAAGAGAAATGCTAGGAAAGATGTCAGCATATGTTGTAATTTGACAGATGCACTGCTGTCATATATGACCCACTTTTAACATTCAAGTGAAGAATGCTAATACAGTGCTATGGAATTTGTGTTGTTTGGTGTCTATGTATGTATTTTATTTTAACTGAGAATTCATGGAAAACTGTACTTAGCAATATTCCATATAAACTACTTTGTCTTGCCCTACTGAATGGATATATTACTTGTGCTCGCAACTTTCAAGAGACCTATCATATCACCACATACTTTTTGTCTAATTAAAAGTGCTCACATATTCATGGCCTTATAATCACAGTAAAAGTTACAGTATCTATCAACAACGAAAAGACATTACAAAATGTGTTTAAGGTAGATTTCATTTTGATTTATGTGATACAAGCAGTTCTGGAGCTATGAGACTTTTGCTTTGAATGTACTGCAGTTTTACACTCCTAGCACTCTCTCTGGGACTGATCCAAATCCCATTACTTCAGTGATCAAGATGTGTGCAGCTCAGAAATATTTTTTATTCTCTGGATATAGTACAGATTGCTGTATAGAAAATAAACACTGTATGCTCTCTCCTGTGGAAAATATATATTTGTTCTTTCTTGTTTTGCTCTTTTCATAAGTTAAATGTAGGTCATTCATACCGAAGGTATATGGTTGTTCTTTGCAAATAAGAGAAACTTAACACTTCTACAGGGCGTGAGACCAAACACTGAGCAACTGTAATCACTTGAGAAATGTAATAGCTGTATGTGTGTCTTATGGCTATTATGAAATGGAACTTACACCTAAAAATGAGGAAAACAGTTAGCTTTCTCCATTTATGGAGCTATGCCACAGTTATGACATAATTCATAGCCAGACAGAAAGTTCCAGTTGTATCCATAGACATTTTATTATTCAATGTAGTGGAAAACTGATATTGAAGAGAGATTTTTGCCAAGTAAAGTTATTCATACACAAGCTTCCTTCTCATGACAGTTTTCCCACTGTACTGCAGAGTGATGCTGGAACTCTGCCTTGGGACAAGCACCTTCTACACCAACACTGACAGTTTATGTCCTGAGATGAAGTGCTTCTAGTCCCCTGTGTTCTCATTCTTATTCTTACTACCTCATTACCCCACAGTTTTGTGTAGAGAACTTTCTAGTTTTTTTGTTGCAATAAGTTCATACATAGTAGATGTTCAAGATATTTCCTCTCTGTGATTGCAAGAATTTAATTATCATATGGGGTTTGGGTGTTAAACTTGTTACTAATTCTTAAACAGCTGCAGTTATCAAAAGAGAAAATAATTTGGACCATCCATTTTTCCTTCAAGGACCAGAGAAATACAAAAAGAGAAAATAAAAAAAATATGAAAAATTTCACTAATGAACTCCTTAGTTCTTGTTGTTTAAAGCAATATTAACAAAGAAAATAAACGCCTAATTTGATCCCTAGGGAAACATGACTTTTTGCATGTATGAAGGAATTTAGAAGCATATCCTGAACATTTTGCAGAGGTTTTTCTCAGTATATGAGCATAGCAATCATGGCATTGTATATCTTGCACATATGGTAGGTATTTATGCTTTAGTTTCCTTTCTTCAGAAATTTCTCAGGATAGACAAAACCTTATATAGTTTTGTAATCTCTAAACTCTCTGCAGTGTGATCTTCATAATAATGATGGTGATGTGTATTGTAACTTGTATTAATCAGAAGAATAGGCCTAAACAGGATTGAGCAGTGGGCCCAGGTGAACCTCAAGAGGTTCAACAAATCCAAGTGCAAAGTCTTGCATCTGGGTCATGGCAACCTCCACTATCAATACAAGCTGGAGGATGTAAGGAGAGAGCACAGCTGTGCCAAAAAGGACTAGAGGGCACTGGTGGATGGCAAGATGGGCATGAATCAGCAATGTACCCAGGCAGACTAGAAAGACAACGGTATCCTGGGCTGCATCCAAAGAATTGTAGTCAGCAGGGCAAGGGAGATGATCCTGTCCCTCTGCTCCACGCTAGTAAGACCTCACCTGGAGTACTGCATCTACAGGAGAGATGTGAATTTCTTGAAGCACATCCAGAGGGCCACAGAAATGGCCCAAGTGATGGAACACCTCCCCTGCGAGGACAGGCTGAGAGAGCTGGGGCTATTCAGCCTGGAGAAGAGAGAACTTCGGATCTGATACTGGCATTACAGTATCTAAAGGGGAGCTATAAGAAAGATGGGGACAGACTCTTTAGCAGGGTCTGCTGTGGTAGGACAAAGGGAAATGGTTTCATACTAAAAGAGGGGAGAATTAAATAGGATGTAAGGAAAGAGTTTTTTATTATAAGGATAGTGAAGCACTAGAACAGGTAGTCCAGAGAGGTGGTGGATATTCTCATCTTTGGAGACATTCAAGGTCAGGCTGGACAGGGCTCTGAGAAATCCGATCTAGCTGTGGATGCCCCTGCTCACTACAGGAAAGCTGGACTAGATGGTCCGTTAAGGTCCCTTCCAACTGAAAAGATTCTATGGTTCTATGATTCCTGTTACCTTTCTACTGCAGTGCGAAACAAAATACTTTTAAAATGTTTCTCAAAAACAGTTTTTTTCTATTTGTCTGATGTTATTCAGAACACATCTAAGCAATAAATAAATAAACAAAAAAAAAATACTGCTATAAACTTTGCTGCTTTTTCTCTCAAGAAATTATTTCACTCAGTCCCTTCTTGCAATTTGAATGCAAGAATTTCTAAGTCAAAAAAAAAAAAAAAAAAAAAAAAAAACTTCGACAACTGGACAAGACTTCAGAAATCTTTGAATTATTTTTGCAATTCTTTAGCATCGTTCAAAATTGGCCTCTTAAAATCTGACCAATCTTGACATCTTAAAACCTACACAACCTCAGATCTGAGATACATTCTTCCTTTAAAAAGGTCCTAAAGACTGATGCAGATACTTACTTATTCTACAAAATATTCATTATTTTTGATTTAATTGCACAAATAATTAATATAGTTACTAAAAATTTTAGTAAATATGTTAATATATATTTAATACTGTATAATTACACATTTACACATTTATTATTATACTACTACAGAATCCAGTTATGATTTTATATATATATATGATTATTTACATAGCATGTGAGTTAGGCCCTAGAGTTTCTACTCTGTGCTTTGTTATGTAAATATATTGTGTGTCATATTACTGTCATCATGAAATTCTCTTACCTAAAGATATTAATTACTTACAGTCACAGTAGCAAGAAGATCAATATACAACTCCATTATTACAGCAAAATGTACCACTGCATAGCAGTTAAGATAAGCTGGTACACTTGGATTGAAGGGAACTTCATTTCCAGTGACCTATATGAAGCAAAACAGATAACAGCCTTCAACAGTGATGTACTGCAACCTCTTATTCCTTAGTATTCCTTAAAATTACAAACACAAAAAGATTAAGGAGCATAGATAATTACACAAAGATAATCTACAATCTTACATACATACTGTCTAGTGTTTAATTGTCTATGTGCGTGTGTGTGCATATTCACAACTGAAAGAAAAAGAGAAATTAACTTACTCCATAGAACTATTTTGAAAATCTCTTTAGGAAATGAAAAATGAAAAGATAAACAAAAAGATATATTTTTCCTTCAAATAAAAAGAAAAACACAAGTAAAACATTCACTTCCTTCAGTCTTTTTCCTTTATGACTGCTAATTTGCTAATTTAAAATAGCATGTGTAGAGTTCTTAACGTTGATCCAGTAGCATTAAGAGGTCCAAGTAAATTACACAAAACTGAAAGCCTCTATATGTTATATTTACCACTGGGATTTCCTCAGGAAGGCCAAGTCTAGGTTTGCCTGGTCCCCAGCCTGGCCCTTTGAATATGACAGAAAGCTTATTCCAGAATCCAGGTGTGGCCCAAAATGTATTCCAAATATGAGCCAAGGGACGTAACTTAAAAAAAAAGAGCAAGTGATTTTTCATTGTTAGTAAAATAAAATTTATTAAAACATTACATTTCCCTCATCCTTAGCTTTCAAATAAATGACTTTTTGCAAGTCTGTAAAGAGAATACATTAAAAAGAGATGAAGACAGAGGTTCAGAAAACCTGACTGACATAGGCAGGAGCCATATCAGGTCCTTGGTTTATAGTAAGGATTATAAAGACTTCTACTCAGAGAAATATCTCTCTTTCCTATAGGCAATCCAGAACATTCAACAGTATTTTGTATAGCTGTATTTATGATGGCTTTAAATTAGAATTTTGTTATTTGGACTTTGATATGACATACTCTCAATTCCTAAATTACTCAGTGCTGACTGTTATGTATATAACAGTATGGACTGTGGCCATCCTTCTAGCTTCCAGCCCAGGTATTCCTTCAGGCAGAATTTCTAATTCTTTGAGATGCTTTGTGGAGTGAACAGTCATAAAAAATCCCCATGAAATAAAGGGGGATGTCCATATTCCTCAGTTCTCTACAGTTTTATGGAGAAATTTTATCCAGATGAAGTGAAGCTTGGACCAAGAAATCCACCAAGAACCACACTAAGTACTTTTTCTTCTTTTTCCTTTCTGTTCCAAACAGCTTTTGTTGAAAATATGATGGCTGCTGTATAACACTGTCAATGCAAATCATTATGAAGCATCATGAAGATCTAATACGCAAAACAGATAAAGAAATAAAGATATCACACCAGGGGATTACTTATGAAATAGCAATATTTAGAGAAGACATAAGCAACAGATTTTGTTTTCTGTCTGTGCTTCTCTACATATTGCTCTGTGTGTGTCAAAATAGACACTATTCCCTTGGTAAATCATAGGCCTGTTATATTCCCACTGTAATTAGTTAATAATTCTACTGTATTGTGCTTTCATAATGGCTCTTCATGCCCTGTAATATGTTTAGTGCAGCAAGTTGTAATGAAATACTGAAGACGCTGTGGATAGTGAATTAACTATGTAGCAGAGTTAATCTCAGTTATGCCTAAGAGGAGTTTCTTTTGAACAACCAGTACTCTTTTTGAATGTTTGTTGAAGATAACAGAATCAGTTGTACAAAGGATAGCACCTGGAGCAGGATGGGTTCAAATGAATTTACTGGATGTGTTAAGCCATATACAACTTTAGCATCTTCTGCCTCAAATGTTCCTGAAGGAAAACGTTAAAAAAAAAAAAAAAAAAAAATCAAAATTAAAATATACACATTTTGTTTGATGCACTAACTAAACATGAGGGAGAACAGCTTGTTTTGGTTTGGTTTTACTTACCAAATATCCTGTCCCAGATAATGAGTGTGCCACCATAATTTTTGTCAATGCAGTAAGGATTTCTACCTGTAATAAAAATGAGCAGTAAGTCATTGCATATATAAGAATACATGCAAGTGGGTTACAAAAGGAAATCTTAGCATCAATTTCTAATCTAAAAATATTTTTAAGGAGTAGCAAGTTTGCTGATGATGTAAACCTGGGAGGAGTGGTGGACACACCAGAGTTCTGTGCTGCCATTCAGTGAGACCTAAGCAGGCAGAGAGTTGGGCCTGGAAGAGGAATCTTATAAGTTTTAATAATAAAGAGTGCATAGTCCTGAATATGGGGAGGAATAACCACATGCATCATTATAGATTAGGGTCTGAAATGCTGGAAAGAAGCTCTGCAGAGAAGGACCCGGGTGTCTTGGTGAACAACAGGTTTGCCATAAGCCAGCAGTGTGCCTTTGTGGCCAAGAAGGCTCACAGTATCCTGGAATGCATTAAAAAGATTCTGGCCAGTAGGTCAAGGGAGGCAATCCTCCCCCTCTACTCTGCCTTGGTGAGGCCACATCGAGAGTACTGTGTCCAGTTCATGGCTCTTCAGTTCAAGAAAGTCAGGGAAGGGATACAGAGATGATGAGGGATCTGGAGCATCTCCCTTATAAGGAAAAGCTGAGAGGCCTCGGACTGTTCAGCCTGAAGAAGAATGAGGGGATCCTATCAATGCTTACCAAAGAAAAGGCAGGTGTCAAGAGGAAGGGATCAGACTTTTTTCAGTACTATCCAGTGACGGGACACAATATGGAATACAGGAATTTCCATATGAACATAAGAAAGAACTACTTTATTTGAGGGCAACAGAGCACTAGAACAAGATGCGCAAAGAGGCAGTGGAGTCTCCTTCTCTGGAGATATTCAAAATCTGCCTGAATGTTTTCCTGTGCAACCTATTTAAGTGAACCCCCTTTAGTAGGGGGTTGGACTAGATGATCTCTAGAGATGATCTAGAGCTCCTCCAATCTTCCAGCTCCTACAATTCTGTAACTCTGAATAGTAAGTTAGCTGCCCTTTACGTATTTACAACATTTCTTTTTTCTGACAAAGCATCCAACTCTCCTCCTACTCAGAATCAACTATACAAATGTAGCATGTCATACTCAAAATTTCTGTGAAATAAAGAATTCAATTGGAGAGTAAATTCACCTAAAATATATTTATGAAGGAAAATTAAAGAAGTAAAAAAAAAAATCACCTCATTAATTTATACCTAAGAAAATGCGTGTCGAATACATTTATGCACAATCATCTCATTACTGCCTTTCAGCTGTCTCTGTGTTCTATTGCTATATATCTGATCCTGCCTATATTACTGAATTCAGGGTGATCTTTCAATCTATTAGCTAGGGAATGCACTTGTATATGAAATATCTTTCAAATGTTTGAGCAAAATCAAACATTTTGTTTGGTGCAACTGTACAATATTCAATTCTGCTCAACTCTGATCAGGATCAGGTTCAGAGGATTAGTCTGGATTTACAGCAGAGCAAATAAGAGCAGATTGTTTCCCTCCAGGATTACCAGTACTTGTGCAAATTTTAAGGATTAGATAGTTACAGCACCACAGCCTTTTAAAAAAGTCTATGCAGTGCTATAAACACTCTACACACGGAGGATATAATAAATATTAATAACATCCTCTGTACATATGACTCCATTTTAGTCTGTTTCAAATTATTTTGCTCCTCCACTCCCATTACTTTTCTCCTTCTTATCTCTACACTCTGAATGAGCCAATGACATCTATAAAACCCACTTTTATTCCACAGGTATGTTCATGGCATTTTTCATGATTCAGAGGAGTTATGAATAAAATTTAGATATGCAGTACCACCTTTAATTCTTCTGAATATTGATGGAAATTTATATCAGCTGACAAGTATATGTGTGAAGTGATATTTTTCAACAATTCAGACATTTGAAACTAAATTCCACCAAAATGTTTAACAGCTCTACTTCAAAAAGAAAAACATGTCTTACTGCATGAATTTGAATGCAAGAGCATCTGTTACTGATTGATAAGATGATTATGTTTTAGCAGTCAGGGAATGTGAGATATTTTTCTATCATTCTTTATATTTACAAAACTATTTTATTCAAAATCTTCAAATTATCTCACACTATCAAGGCTTCATTTCTGCTCAGCAATTAATCTCAAAGGTAAAGATTTAAAAATTAAATATAAGTTCTAATTTTTTTTAAAAATTACTGTTTAATACTACGTAACTTCTCACATAACAAGCGCTATTTTTTGGAGCAGTTATCAAAATTAAAATCGTTGTATAATACTAAAGTATAATTTTTATTTTCTTATTACAGTCCAAGTATTGAATACTAGCAAAAGCCCATTGAGGAATTAGGGATTATGCTTTTAACTTACCATGATGAACTCTGTGATGACTAGGCGTATTAAGAATCCACTCCAATGGACCAATGTTGGTGACAACCTTGAAAAGAAATAATGTTTATCTGAATTTGTAATGTATGAATTCAATAAGAAGGAGGGAAAAGAAGGAGACAAAAGGCATAAAGATTTTTATCTCCAGGAGACTTGCCTAAAAAGATGAGAACACAATTTTTTTGCTTTAACTTGTGTTCATTAGGAGATTTTTCAAGAAAGAATAAGTGAAACCTAATAAAATGCAAGTTAAAAAGCAAATTTCTTTTTGATCAATCAGCACACTTTCTTCTTTTATTATTAGTTTATGATTCTATACAGATCACTCAATTTTTCATCTGTATCTATTGGCACTTCTTGGTAAGCAGTGTAACTCTAAGATCCCAGTAATTTGGATATTCAGCCTAAGCAAATGCTTGGCACTGTTCCAGAAACAATCTCCTTCAGTATCTTTGACTGCTTTCACCTTCTACCAACACCCTTCTTTTACTTCAGCAGAAATGAAATAACACAACAAACCAAGAACAGATGCAAGTAGAAACTACATTTGTTTCATTTTTCCAAATGAGTTTAACTGGATCAGTTCTTGAATCTAATGCAACATGTGGGTTGGTACATGTGAGAAGAAAGTTGCAGCAACAACTTAGAGCAGTGTAAACTCATAGTGAAGATGAGACCTAGGACAATTGTGTAACAATAGAGGAAATCCAGCCTTGATCTTCTCAATACTAGATCAAAAATGACACAAAGTGATGATTGCCATAAACTTACTCTAATGATTCAAGCTTTGTCATAAAATGCCTATGAATTAAGTTTATGAATAAAGCAAATATAAAAATAAAATTAATAAATATTTTTGTTTATATTCATCTTTATTAACATGAAAAGAACTTCTGGTTATTAGGTCAAGCAGAGCATTTCTGTAAAGGAAGGAGTACAGAAATGATCCAGTTCTTCAGATAGAGAGAACTGCAACATCTGGACAATCTCGCTCAAAATCATGTGCACACTGGCTGGAAAAGCAGAACACTGGGACAAACTTGTTTTGTTTTGTTTAACTCAGAAGCCAAAGACAACATAAGTAGGGCCATTTGTATTTCTCAGAACTCAAAATAAGTTCAAGTCTGAAAAGACCACCAAAAGGTGAGGAACAATTCATCATTCATGCTAGCTCGATTTCCCTCATCTCTCAAGCAGAAAATCGCACTGTATTAAGCTTTGTGATATGTAACCACTAAATTGAACTAATGAATTAAATGTCTTGGATTGAACTGTAGCCCGGCACCTGAGAGAACAGTGAGCTATATATTAGACCACACCTAACTTTGATGAAAATGGTACACTATGTTATTTCTAGAAATTTCCACTGCTATCAGTAAGCTTATTCCTATAAACTTTGCACATTTCTAAAACAAACAAACAAACAAAAAGCCTAAAAACTACTGTCAATGGAAAACTTTTGGCATTTTATATATATTTTCTATATATACATTATATATATATATATATATATTATATATATTTTAAACACATATTTTATATTTTGTAAATATAAACTTATATGAGCAACCAGAGGAAATACATCACCTCTGTAACAGTGGATTTTGAAGCCTCCTGCAGTAGCACAAGAAGAATAATTCAATTTTGTTGATGTTTTCTACTTTCTGCCATCTTACCACAGGAGGAAAAACTCCTATGAGCAGATCCTTCATCAGAGTAAATTGCAAAGGCTAGGATAGTAAAATAATTTTTGCCAGGCAAGATTTTATACTCTCTGACTCCATCGTTTGAGGCTCACAGGAGCCTACTGAAATTAAAAGAGAAAAAAAAAACAAAACAACTTTGCAGAAGTTGGCATGTAACAAAATTTAATGTGGTGGAACAACAGTCAATGCTCAAAAGAATGTCTAGAAAGTTACGGAGAGGAAAAAAGCAGTGGTGGATGTTCCAGCTACCAATCAGCTTTTCAGCTTTCAATCTTCCCTCATTGCTGTAAGGCAGATGTCTGTGTCATTGTGTCCAGACATCTTCCTTGAAGAACATCAATCACAATACAGTAGGTAAATATTTATAGTAGCAGAAAGCAGGCGTACTCTGCAGTTGCAGCCAGTTACCAAGATATATACAATGCCAGATCTCAGTCATTCAAGACATCAGAACATTTTTATCTTAAAATAGCTTTCTATTCAAAATGGCTTTTTAGAATAAACATTTTCACATTTCTGGGAAAACACTTTTCAATTAAAAATATATAATATATCAAATAAATTCAATATGATATCAGAACAAATCACGTATTTTGTGGGTTACGATTGAGATTTTCATTAGAAAAATAATATACTTTCTACTACTATGGCTTTTTTATGCACTAAATGCTTTGTTTCAGCCCCCCTTTTTTTTTTACTGGAAATTAGTTTCAAAATAAAAAATATATGGTGGAAATGTCATGGTCCAATATCTATATCGCCTTTATTGCATATTTCATTCTACTGAAAGGAAAAAATCCTGTGAGTATAAATAATTCTAGTTTATATCATCATCTTGCAGTTATCCTGGGAGGCAGAAAAATTACTCCAATTAGCATTAAGAAATTATATATACCAACTCTTTTCCTAGAATGACCTTATAATTATGTGAAAATGTTGACCAATATGGCTGGGAGAGGGGACATTCTTGTGTTAGCTTCCTAGATACAGATAACTACTGTACTAAATCAAACCCTGTCTCCTATTTTTCCTCTCTCAATTAACACACCTAAGCAACCATGTCACTGAGCCACAGTGAACTTCTGCATTCCAGAAAACTCTTTTCCTGTTTGCTTTGCTTATAGTTTAACATCACAAAACAATTTGACCACAAAACAATTTTCACCTGAAAAAACCTTACAAATAGATTAGATAAACTGAATCTGATATATAGGTATCTTACGTACATCACTCAGAAAAGACTTGTAAGATCTCTTCTCAAAACAAGTACTTTTTCTTCTTTTTTAAGGCAACATACTCCTAAGTTATTGCATCAAGAAGTTGCTAAACTGCTAAAATGCAGAATTACTATGAGAACACTTGAAGCAGCTTCAAGAGCAGTTTAAAAAACAAGGCAGCTAAAAGCTATGTGCTTACAAACTTTCCACAATTTGCTGAACAAAAAATTCCAGAAGTCAAACCTTCATATAAAACGAGTTTTTTTTTGTTTTTTTTTTTTCAATAATAGCAGTTCTTATATAAAGATGTTTCCTTTATGACAGCAATCCCTTGCCTAAAGGAAAAGAACATCATGCAATCTCTTGTGGCATGTAAGCACGTCCGTTTGCGGTCTCAGAGTTTGTCAGCACCAAGGGAAATCTTTATTGCCTGGTACCTGCACCACTTCAATGTAGTTCTTGTTTAAATAATGAGAAAAAATCGTGACATGAAATCCAAAGGAAACTTTACATCTTGTGTAACAACTCCTCCTGTCACCACTACAACATGAATCTTTGCTTAACTCTGTTTCAACAAGAATGTTAGGAAGGAATGTCGACAGGGCAGAGAAGGCAATGTTACAGTAAAAGCACTGCTAAATAAATAAAAAAAAAAAAACAAAAAAAAACAACTTTTTTTCTTTAAGTATAAGAAAAGCTGTTTGTAGCAGAGCATGACTTTCAATATCATAGTGCTACAGATCTGCAGGACAGAAGAGGGTAAATTCATCCCTGGAGCATGACTAAAGAGCACTCTGAACTTAACTCTGGGGTTTCAGCTAGATTAGTTAGTGGTAGAACAGGTATTTAAATTGATTTTTTCATCAAAAGTAAGACAAGAGTTTTATTCCTGGTATATAAATCTGTATTTCAGACAGTTTGGTGGGAAATTTGAATATAAGACTTTAATTACATTCTCAATAGAGCTGCTGTGTTAATTCAGGACAACACACCCATGTATTTATACAGATGGCCCTAGTGATCATATTTGCCATGTGAATTCTCTACGGGGAGGCTAGGGAAAGGCAAAACTCCTAGGATACATGCTTGTCTGCCTAGTTTCACACTTTGAAATCCTCAGCAAACCCTGATTTATATACCGCCAACTGTTTTCCTATCTGATTAGGCAGTTTTCTATTCCAGTAAGCATGTAAAATGGATGTAGCCAAATTTCCACAGTGAGGAACGAAAAAACAATATTTACAGTTTAGAAATAAAATAAGCCAAAGGAATCAGGTCTGTTGGGATCATAAAGAGTTTAATAGGGTGGTGAATTTCTGACAAATCTGGATTGTAGGAATGAGAGGAGAAAGCCTAGTTTTAATGGATAGTCAAGTTTAGGGTATGTTTATATAATAAACACACAGACTTAAGAAATGTGTTTAGAATAAATTATCTTGAAGGCAGACGGTTGTCACTTTTTGTTGGTTTATGCTTTAACCAGAAGGAAAGGTTTGAATCAAATAGACATCTGACATGAATATTTCAGCTACCACTTTCAATAAGTGAAAGCAACTTTTGATATATATATATATATTTTTTTTTTTTTTTTGCAAAGTCTAATTAAGCCTTCTTGTAGAAAGATAAGCACATGTTGCATATTTCAATCAAGTTGTCCACTACAACGCAAGAAAACAATCACTAACTTACTGTTTTAATTGTAATATTACAAATAGCAGAGCACAATGGAAGTCACTCTTCCAGTTGTGTATCAAGTTAAGCATTTTAAACAAACTACAGGAAAAAAAAAACTGCTATACAATTTCAGTATTTTTTTAATCAAGTTGACAAATACATACTGGTGACTGTGGAAAAAAAAAAAAAAACAGAGCAATAAATCATATGCCAGCCCTGAAACAAACCAAATATATTAAACTGTAGCACTTCACTGTATCTCTTTAAAAAGACAAAAAAATAGTCATCATCCTACACTTTGTTTTTTTAATAAATAAATGGTTTCCAAATATAATTTTGCTTTTGAAGTCACAACCAATTAAAATAGATTCTCAATGAGTACAACAGTATGCAAAACCCAAGATTACTAAATGTAATTTTGTTAAAATGTGTTAAAATATAAATCTTTTTTT